GAGCAGGCCATTTGAGAGGTAAAGCTTTTTCTTAGGAGTTGAATAATGCTAAATTTGATTGAATCCACTGATAACCATAATTTCTTCTCCTAAACATTCTGCCTACAGAGAAACACTGATATTCAACAAAATTATACATGTTCTTTTAAATGATAACAAATAAACCAAAAATCAAAGATCATACCAAGTCTCATGAACAAGGTCAAAAAAGATTTAACTATCATGCAGGTAAAGGGATTAGTAATAACAGCTGAACTATTCTACTAGGGTGGCTACATTATCCAGCTCTGCCATCCCCACTGATGAAAATAACCTGGTAAATACCAGAACTTTCCCTTGCTTTATGGCCTTGGGGTGAGCATATGTTTTATTTTGCACACTTTATTACTTGTTAAAGACAGTCCTGAAAAAGAAGTGTGGGTTCATATGCCAAGCATTCTGTATTCTACAGACAGTCTGAATTGATTAAATTCTCATTTACCAGTTTTTCTAAACTTCAATTGTCCTCAACTCAGAAAAACAAAGAAACAGAACCTGCTAAGATCTATAACTTCCCTCCTACTCCAGATCAAAGAAAATGCCAAGGAAAAACTAAATGTTTAGAAGTAAAATTCAACACAAGTCAAATAAACCACAATGAGATTAATAGTCTCTAATTTTTTTTCAAATCAAACTGCAATTCCCTGCACAAATGAATGTACTGATACATGTTCAAGATCTTTAAAACTCATACAATTAAATATGTTGAAAATACAAATCCAAAGGATTACTTCCTCTCTCTAAAGTCTGTTCTTCCTGCTTCTAACATGACATATTGTGCAACTCTGATAAAAATATTTAAAACACAGAAATGTAACACTCCTAGCTCAAACAGAAGACAGTCCTTGGTAAGTTAATTATGTGATTCTTCTATTAACCTTAGAATTTCAATAAGGCACAAAGTAAGTTTAATAGCTGGAAACCAGTAGCTACCTTCTTAGAGTCCTGAATAATGCAGTAATAAAAACAATTTACTAATATGAACAGGCAACATATATATCATGAGCTTATGAACTTGGGATAGCATAAACACTTTCCCGTGGGAAGCACTTGACAAGACTCCTACTTTTATAACCTGATCTGAGGGCTAAAAGTTCCCCCATAAAGATGATGCCAACGCCCTAATGCACAGCACATTAAGCCCTAATGAAACAGCAAAGGCCACGTTGTTAATGCAGGCTTCCCATTCAGCAATGGTTTAAATATAAGCATAATAAAGCAGTTTTAAAAGAAAGAAGCTGGCCAGGCGAGGTGGCTCACGTCTGTAACCCTAGCACTTTGGGAGGCTGAGGTGGTGTATCACAATGTTAGGAGTTCAGGACCAGCCTGCCAACATGGTGAAACCCTGTCTTTACTAAAAGTGAAAAAAAAAAAAAAAAAAAAAATAGCCAGGCGTGGTGGTGCTCACCTGTAATCTCAACTACTCAGGAGACTGACGCCAGGAGAATCATTTGAACCTGGGAGGTGGAGGTTGCAGTGGGCCAAGGTTGCACCACTGTACTCCAGCCTGAGTAACAGAGCAAGACTTCATCTCGAAATGAATAGATGATTGATAGATAGATAGATAGATAGACAGACAGACAGACAGATAGATAAGACAGAAGCTGTAAATATTTTTTTAAGAACTGGATCTCTTCTATGATCAGTCTCTATGTGAGCCTCAATGGTTCAATACAAATAGTAAATATTACATGAAGTGCTAACCAATCACTCTGCATGTATTATTTTTAAAAATTTAAGCATGACAATTGATAGAACATTCAGGATAAATGAAAAACTGGGAAACTAACATCCTGGTCAAATCAGTTAGCTCTAAACTAGCCATTACAGCTTCTCTTGTTTTCTTGTAAAGAATTGACATGCCATCTCCTTTCAAGGCTGGGCATGCTAGCTTAAGGTGTTGGGGGGAGAATCTGATAAATGCCACAGACTTAGAAAGGACAGTCCTGGCTTTCTTATGGTTGTTTATAGTGACCTCCATTATCCGGCTGGGGCTCTATCTACTATGCAGCACAAAGAAACATTGTTATTTGACAGTATTTTTACAAAGTTGTAATTCTTTGACTCAGTCATTTGTGATGTAATTTGCACAAAAGTGGATATTATCAGTAGAAGCATGTCTAAATTTCAATTATTCCTCCAAGTATATTTGAAATAACTTGCACTTAGAACTGGAAATCTTAGAATTTATTTAAATTACTGTACTTCTTTTTCCCAACTGTATCTTATATTTGCACTCAAGTCCATTCAAATTATTTAAAACCATCCATGTCAAACCAAAATATAGATCAAAGCCATAGAGTCCTTTAAGCCTTTTGCTTTTGGCTTCGGCTCCTTTTGTCTTGGCCTAAAATGTCATAAATCTATCATTAACCACCAACTGTTCTGAATGTTTTTTTAAAAGCAAGTTTAATTGAAAAAGATTAATGAATTCTTCATCTATTACTTCAATTAGCTTAAATTATAGATTTATATAAATAATGCCTAAAATTAAATGCTTATTTGTCTGTAATACTCGTATTTACCAACATCTTTATATCAGAACACATACAGGCCATTAACTTACGATATATTTCTGACAAAACTGTATCAAAGAAATTCTATAGTCAGCATTTTATCTCCCACAGCTCTTAGCCTCCACAAAGTTTAACCGCCAAGGAAAGAATCTCTCAAATAGCATTTCAGCAACATAAACTTGTGGGTAAAAAAGGAAATTTCAGATCTGTTTTTATTCATTTTATTCATATTGAAAAACTAGTCAATATTTGTTTCAGCATACAAATATTAATAAGTTACTTATCTTCAGACATTTTTCTGCATCAGTATCTGGCATATGTGCAAAGCATTCAAGATTAGCATTTGGCCTACAAGTATATCCAGTGTTATCCTCACAAATTGAAGTTAACCCTTTAGACTCGTTTCAAAATCCAGTCGTTTGTTTGAAACAATCATGCACTGTTTCCACAGATTACTTTTTTCCATTTTTAGCAATACTATTTATCTTGGAAAAAATTTGATCTTAACAAGATTATGTTCCTGCATGCTCTTTCCTACCACTTTTTGTCTTCCTTGCTGTGTGCTGCAAGGATTTAGTAGGCAGCATAGTCCAGGATCAGCTGTTTTATTTCTAGTTCTATTAGTTCAAACTCAGATAGCTCACACATCTGTTTTACTTCTAAAATCACTGCCCAGGAAAAGTGTCCAGCTCCTTCTACCCAAACATAAACTTTACTATAAATAACTAAGAACCTAACAAATAACTGTTTGGGGGAAATGGAAGTGTGTTTAAAAATCTGAATTCCTCCAAACTATAGGCCTTAGTAATCTTCTTTTTTAGAGCCTTCCTGACAGCCTAGATCAGCTTCCCTCAGAAGTTCTCCCCAGAGTGAACAAACTGAAACTCCTGCCGGAAATCCAGGTATTAACATCATATTACTTGCTAATTATAAAACACCATTTCACATACTGACATTATTCATTTCCATCCCTTTTATCTAAAACACGTATTTGCTTTCCAATCATAGTTTGACAGCATAGTGTATCTGACATAAGACAGTGAAATGATCTTTAATAGACAGCAGTTCAAAGCATGTAGCTTTCATGCATAATAACTATGTTGGCTTAATTTGCTGCTCTGCAGAAATAATTCTATTTGTGGAAATTCACAAACTAAGATGGAATTTTTGGAGTGCTTTACCAAGATGAAACTGACGTTTTAAGAGTTCTTCTTTATATCTCCCTTAAAGTAATAAGATTGCCATTCTGACATTTAAAGGACTCAGAAATTTTTCTTCTGACTCTTCTTACAAGTATTGCAAAATATGTTCACTACCTGTTATTTATAACCTCTTTGCCTGCCTTTCTTAATTGGCATTAAATCAACAGAGAGGTTTGAGGCAAATGAGCTGTAGCTATCGAGTTGATAAAAATGACTGATATTTTAAGGGATTTTTTCATTAGTTCTCTGGTACCTCTAATCATTCCTAAAAATGGTTACTAGTAAAGTTAATATGTTTTGAAATCCCCCTGGCCTTATAATACAATAAAAATCTACAAACTGTAACAAAAACTAATACACATCCTCAAGCTTACCATGAATTTTAACTATGCTAAAATTACTAAAATTAAATGTATACATTTATTTAGACTCAGTTCCATGTTTCATTCTATTCAAAATGTAAGAGTTTCTTTTTTTTTTCCATTTCAAATATGTCATAAACTAAAGACAGAAAGATAGATCAAAGAGGTATGCTGTTTTTAATAAAAGTAAAAATCTAAATTATTACTAAATGCTTTCATAAATTATTGCCATTTTCCTTAAATGCAGAAAGGAATGCTTTATTGGTCTGTACCAAGGTCATTCTGGGGTCCCTAGTACTTACAATCACATTTACTTCTTTTTAATCAATGTAAAATGTTATTTCCCAGTTTTCATTTGCAATTATTTTGCCGTTCCAAAAGGATGTCTTTGCAACCATCAAAATGGCTCAAATCTAGTCAGGATGAACATAAAATCATATTCTAATCCAAGATGCAGGAAAGATCCTCACTAAAGGGAAGATTATAGCAAAAACCTTATAATCTTAAAACTAGAACAAGGCATGAATTATTATCATGTTCAACCATAAAGATTAACATTTCTGGAAGACTGTGGAAACATCAAATTACCATGAAATATATCCAGAAATGTGACGCTTAGCTAATTTCATGAAAAGACTTTTCCCAAACTAAAAAAAAAAAAAAAATGCTAGGATTGTTTTCTACAATAAGAGGCTAAGAGTTGTCTTTAGACAATTCTAAATATACTTGTATGAGGCAACTTTGGAGTGTGTCCATCTCTTCTGCTAGATCTAGCAGGATACCTGCCTGGTATTGGGACCTTGGTTTTAACATGTATTTAAGAATTCACATTTCATTTCTAATAACTTTTTCTGTCCAAAGAGACAAAACAAAGTACAAACCTGCACATCGTAGGTCCCATTTAGTAAAACAGGCCTTGAAGAATTGATGTCCTGCAGCACACCAGAAAACACTGAACGGTTGACCTTCTGGAAGTCTTTGGAATGGCTGAACTGCACCATGTTATGAAGGGCCAAGATTTTGCTGTCCAGCTCAGCATCCTGCCTGGTGCGGTTATGCAGTCCTAAGTGATACTTTCGGAAGTGCTTAATCAGATCTGTGGGGTCGTTGCCATAGTAACCATATCCACAGATATTGCATTTAAAGTCCTGAAGCTCTGGAGACAGAGGTGCCGGGTCTGGGTTATCATTCACCAGTAAGTCAGTTTTGGATTTATTCAGTCTTACACTCCCATCTGAAGGCACTTGTGGGTTTTTTGAGGCCACTGAAACAGGGCTCAAACCTTGACAATTGGCTTGACCACTGTGTGCTTGCCCTGTTTCCTCCGTAGCCTTTGGTGACATCTTCTGATCTTCCTTTGTCTCCAATGAGTCCCCTGAGGGGGTGCAGGCTGTATCTTGAGGGTCATCTGCCTCTGCTCTTTGAGGAGACTTCAAGGGCTCACAGACTCCCCCAGCAGCTGGAGATGAGAAAGCCAACATATTTCTGTCTGTCACCTCATCATGCGGAAAGGAGGGAAGGTTTCCTCCCTTACTGGGGCTTTCATAATTGAAGCCAGCCTTCTCACTCAGGACTACGCTTTTCAAGTCCTTCTTACTGCTAGAAGATGGATCTTGAACATGCAAGCTATGTTCCTCCTTATGATTTACTTCTGCAGCATCACTCTGATCCGTATTTTCTGACATCTGATCTGCAGAAAATTCTTTATTCTTTCCAGATACCTTGCTTTCTGTACCTATAGGCTCCAGGATCTGGCCCTCGCCTTCACTCGCAACGTTTCTCAGAGGGGGGTTCTTTTTCCGGACCATATCTGCAAAGATACAGGGAAAAGGCAGATACGATGTTATTTGAAGGTTACAGAGATATAATTGAATCTGGAATATTTTACTTATGCAAGTATTTTAATGTGCATAATCAAATGCTTCCTCTAGGAAAAAAGTCAGTTTTAAAAATAGCAAAAAGTTGAGACTAAAACTAACAATTTACATTTAGAATTACTATTATAACCAAGATTGGCTCACTTATTATTTTAAAGTTGTTTTAGGAATAATGAAGGATTTATTTTTATTACTAGGTCTACCCTCCCTATTACTTATTCTTTCCTGAAAATATATTTTTGCCCAATTTACTCTTTCGATTGTAGCTGATGATGTATATACATGCTTATATATTTATACACGTTCTATATTATGTATAATATATATACATGTTATGTTTATAAAACATATATGTGTTTATTTTTAGAGAAGACATCATATGTTTCTTTATATGGTACATATATGTACATATAAATAACATAAATTGGAATTCAATATTGTTGCCCTATGCAACCAGGATGTAAATATAGTTTCAAACAAAATATCTTCATAGTCAAAAAGACAGAAACAGCCATGTTATCAACGGAGTGAAAACTGCCCCATCACTTTCAGGAAGTGGAGGATGACAAATGTTCCAGCTCTGACCTACCAACAAATTTCTTGAAGCCACATTTGGGGCTTGCCTGAAAGTCAGAAGGAAGGCCTGGTATGCATCACAGTGGTCAGATCGGGTTTTCCTAGGACTCTGTCCAGCATGCTGGGGAACCTAATAAGCTCTGGGTATCCACACACAGCCTGATGAAAACAGTACCTGTTCCACCATCAAGAGCACCCTGGAAACTGACTAAGAAAGAATATTGAGCTGAACCATATGACATTGTCCTTGTATTGCTCAAAACAGCAAAATATTAGCAGCTTCCTATTGTTCACCTTTACACATTAGCTCAACAATGTCTCTCAAAGTTAAGTTAGTGGCATCAGTGGCGTCAAAAGAAGAATACTGGAGCAAATTCTTCTGCTGGAGTAGAATGAGTCAGAACTCTAAGAATATAAAAAAACTAAGAAACAATTTGTGTAGTGTCAATTAAAGAATGCATTAACAAAGGCTGGATGAGGTCTGGGTTCCGTGGCTGCTGTTTCTTAATCACTCAGCTTAAAAAAACTATCAAGTGCTATGTAAGTCATCACCACAAAGGTCTCTTGGAAAATTCCACCTGTGGTAGAATAAAACAAGCCTTCTTTGTTAGCTGACTTCACCATAAGGACTAACAAAGTTAGTTATACTGCAATTATCCAAAACGTGCTGAGAAAATCCAAATTAATAACATGGTTTAGTCATTTTCATCTATAATTTCTCACAAGTACTGAAGAATCACACTGATTTTGACTATACAGGTGGACCTTTGCTTCCTAAAAGCTGGTCATGCAAAATTTTTATAATATGAATTACTGAACAAGAATAGTGCACTAGAGTATAAGGAATCATTTATAAAGTAAAAATGTGCCATAGTGAATGATGTCAAAAATGGTATAATGATACTTAAGAAAGTACACTGAGCCAGGAGCAGTGGCTCACGCCTGTAATCCCAGCACTTTGGGAGGCCACAGCAGGCAGATCACCTGAGGTCAGGCATTTGAGACCAGCCTGTCCAACATGGCAAAACTAAAAATACAAAATTTAGCACCACGTCTCCACTAAAAATACAAAAATTAGTGCACACCTGTAATCGCAGCTACTTAGGAGGCTGAAGCAGGAGAACTGCTTAAATCCAGGAGGCGGAGGTTGCAGTGAGCCGAGATCGCACCATTGCACTCCAGCCTCGGTGACAAAAGCAAAACTCCATCTCAAAAAAAAAATAATAATAATGATAATAATAAAAAGACAGAGAGAGAGAGAGAGAAAGAAAGTACACTGTTCTTCTGAGACATCAATGTTATTCATCAAGTATCTATAGAAGCTCCTCTCTCTTGGAACAAAATATACATATTCAGGATGAAAGAGTAAAGTTTCAAGTGAAAGTGATGGTGCTGAGGCAATGTAAATCTGCCTGACTTCTGGAGGCAGGAAGAGGAATATGAGCGTCTTACCTCTGTGTCATTCCATTAGGCCCTAAAATTAACTAAGCTTGATAACCACTGTTAAAAAAAGGAAACACTGATAAGCCAATTTTTTTTTTAATATTTGCATTTCAATGTCTTACGTGTCATGTCAACCTTTGAGGAGTTCTCTATTCTTTTGTCAAAAGTGACTAATGAAGCACTGGGGATGTATGAAAATGTGCAGAAGGCTGAAGGGTAAATTTATTAGTAGTCAATAAAGGGAAAAAGGGGAAAAAAGACTAAATGGGCAAACTGAAGAAATTAGTTATCATTTAAAATATAAGTTTGAGGAAAAGATGCACGGTTTTAACTTAGCCTACAGAAAAGGATATTTTAGGCTGTATTCAGACATTCCTACACATAAAAATGTGGAGGCTTGATACAACTTCTCTTACCTTCCCCTTCAGAATTTCCTGATTGTTAATACTTTTCAGTACACATAATGTTTTCAGTAACTATTACAATATAATCTTCCCTTACTGAATGACTATATCTTTTGTATTTTAACTGTTTCTTCTTAAGATGACTGCAATCTAACAACATACCACCTAAATGAAATGAATAAGTTAACACAAAAAAAATACAAAAATCCTATATCAAAATATAGGACTCATGAAGTCAGAAAAAAAAAATCTAATTCATTAAGGTTATCTTTCCTTTAAAATGAAGAGAAAATGGTTTATGCCCATATGTTAATGCCAGTGTGAGTGATTGGGAAAATAACAACATTTTAAATAGCAAGGGAACCAAGATAAAACACTTAAAAGTGAATAGATCTAAATACATTAATATTTTTAAATTAACTTATTTTTCAAAACAAAAAGAAGCTTTAGATCTTGTTGATTTATTGTTACACTGAAGAGATATAATGGGTCACTAGTTTAAAATCTACTCAACCAGCATCTTTAGTGACTGAGAGAAAATACAACTTAATTAAATTATCATCCTTCTAAAATTTCAGTCCCTTCTTCTACCCAAGAACAGATACTTAGAACCCTTAAGACTCATGACTCCTTATGCTGAATAGAGTCCTTAATAATATACATTGCAAAGATCGTTAAACTGCTAAAACTTCAAAGAAATATCAGAAAGGTCATTTGGGTTTTATTTTGCATTGTGGGGGCAGGAGTATGTTCTTTTAGTTGCTGTTTAAAAAAATCTATGTGTTTAATTTAGTTGACTATACTTTGAAGTAGCTATAGAAAAAATAATTTTTACTAGAATTATATCATCATAATTTTTCAGAGTGACAGATTATATAAATATAAGCACATTTGTCATGCTTCTAAGTGGAAGAAACTCTCCTAGCAAGTTGTAAGTTAGATACTATTAAGACTATAGCCACCCTCAAGTTATTATCTCTAAGACAAATAACAGATTGCGCGATGTTTTACTATGTGCCAAGAACTTTTCCAGTTAACATTTTCACTTGAAAAAATAGATCACATACTTGTAAAATCATACCCAGCATTGACTTCATAAGGCATGTGGCTTTAGAGTGCTTTTTACAATTATTAATTCTATTAGTCAACTAGCAGGAGGCTAATGCAATTGTCTTAGAAGACGCTCGGAAGACACAGAAGACATTTTGAGAGCTGATCTGTACATCTGTAAAACAAAGCAAAAAAATATTTTCCTTCCTAAATGATGTAAACATAGTTTAATATATCACACCTAAAATACATTAATATGCCGGCATCATAGGCTGCCTGAAAGACATAAAATCATGAGCAGATCTTGAGCAGATCCTCTCCCTCCCCTGGGTTTTAATAAAGAAACAAGAGAAGGAGGAACATGATATAAAAGGCTACAAGACATAAGTTATTTTCATAACAGACTGTGACGTTGGTGAAATTATTTAATCTCTAAAACCTCTTCACCCCTAATGACCATAATACTTACCTGCATTGGGATATGGGTAAAAGACCTTAATTTGCAAACACCAGCATAGGCATTTATATGGAAAATCTTAAAGTAATTAAAATACATAATCACATCAATGAAAGTTGTCATTAGTTTTGGCAACTCTATTTTAAACTTTATCACCTTGCTACATAGCAATATCCTTCATGCAGACTACCTTAACCCCAGAAAAGTTTAAAATATCCAGTAGAGTAAAACCACTGTGAACTGCATTTTAGATAATGGGCTAAAAGTGAAGTTGACAAAGAGGAGGTAAAGAATTTAAAGCAGAACTGCAAAGCTCAAAATTGCTATTCTAAGTCCCCTATTTAATTGTGAGATAAAAAATTGAACTCTGGGGCTATGCAATAGTGAGCAGCCCTACATTTACATTATTCTCCACCTAAACAGCCCATATAATGAGAAAGCATATTATACATGCCACGATATTTAGGCAGGTTAAAAATATATGTAGCTTCCCCCAAATACTTATTTGTATTCATTTTCACTGCTGAGTTATAAGATATTCCATTTGTAAAAATCATAAATTTCTACTCTTAATTAGCTGTATTTCCTTCTAAGTAAAACAAATCTAAAAGCTTCCTTTGCTTTCTTAGAAAAAGTGTTTACTTTTATAAAAATAGGGAAGTACATTATTTCCATTACAGTACAATTTAGACAGATTTATGCAATAGAAATAATCAGCATTAGAGCTTACAAAAATAATTCTGATAACTATTTTATCTCACTATTTAAAGTGCTTAAATACATAAGAAAAAAAATCTCCTGTAGAACACTGATTCATGTTCTCAAGAGAGCACCTTTACAGCAAAAGGGATTTGAGTTTTCTATCATTACCTAGATATTGTAAATTAGCCACTAGTGATTTAGTTTTATTTCATATATTATATATAATATAAACATATACATGCATACAGTTATGACATATTCTTACTCCAACTAACCTTGCAATAGATAATCAAATAAATTATTCAACCAAAGTAATCAGCTATCACAGTAATTTAACAACAGAGCTTAGATCACACATCAGCTCAATGCAGAAGAACTAAAATTTATTTCCATTAGATGAGAAACTCCTTGAAGGTAAGAGATGTAAATTCTATATTCTTTATAGTATCTTTACCCTAAGCAAAGTAAAGAATAAAAACCTGAGTAAGAGTGGCATAGAAATTGCATATCCAGTTTCTGCATCTGATTTAAATCACCTGCTCGTGTGATCAAGGGCAAATCCATTTGCTTCTCTGAGCCTCTGTTTTTCCCGTACAATAAGGGAATTTGAATAAATTATTTCCAAAATTCCCCCTCCTCTGTGACTCTATAATAGTTCTGGTTAATGGTACTTCAGTTTTACCTTTAAAATATTTGTCCAATTACATTGAAAGACTATAGAATAGTGGGCCACCTACTACTAAGGGTGGTCTAAACACCACTGAAGCCTATCTTTCCCTCAGTTACTCACTTCCCCCAATATTCATGCGTTCAGTAAATATATCCAACCTCAACTATGTGCAAAACACATTAAGCAAGATGACTTTAATTTTACTATTTGTCATTAATTTAAAAAGGAAAGATATGCTTAAAAGGCAAGGAAAATGACTACAAGGAACTCCTCTTTCTCAAGGAAAATTGAAACTTTTGAATATCTTTCAAAATATCATTTCATATACATATATGCATGTGCATATATATGTACACACACACACTACATTCTGAATAAGACTCTAAAAAATCAGGAGGGCAAGATCCTGTAATTGGACCTCAGTTTCAAATCTTGTTGCATATAATTTTTAATTATAGGTAGCAGGTCTTATTTTCATAATATATAATGACAGACATTTTCTTTTTGTTTTTCCAGATTACAAAACTTTCAAGTGTTTGAAATCAAAGCTTAGCACAAAAAGAAGTCATCATGGTCTTCGTCTTAATAAATATGTTTTCTTCCATGCTTGCTTGTATTACCAGCATAAGAATACTGAGCTATTAATTATACATTTCATGTAGCTTTTATTTTTTAAAAAACTTTTAAGGGAGAGAAAAAAAGTTTCTTTTGATCAAAAGTCCCCACAAAGAATTTAAAGAATTAAGAAATTGATAGCAAAAGAAAAGGAAGGTCAAATCTTGAGCCTAGAGCAAACTAGATAGCTTCCATATGAACAACATATACAGTTCAGTTTTGAAAGAACATATGTGTTTGCTCATTGGCTTAGGAGAAAAAAACACTTGAATCCTGTCTACTCCATGTATACAGATCAAAATCAGATTGCTTAAGTGAACTATAAAATGCAAGAGAACATTGTTTATCCAATTCACAAACCCAAGAATCACTGAAGGAGTTTAGATGTTTTCTATTTCTTCAGATTCCAGGGCAATACTTCAATGGTAGATCGCTTTTTTTGTAAACTGCTTCAAACTTCATAAACTCAATGTCAGATCCTGTTCTTTCCTATCCATTTCTATTTAATTTGCTCTCTCTTAATTGACTGTTCTCAAATTTTTTAAAGGTATTTTTGAACATCTTAAATGTTGTTGAGTTTTAAATGTCATCACCTTCAAACAACTTCCATCAAATAAATCTCTTATTAATTCACATTAAATTAATCCAAAATGATCACTTCTATTAACATATGCTTCAGAACACAAAAGCCCATTAATAGTCATCTGGACACTAGAACTAACCCAAAGCTCTCTAAGATAAAATGCACACTATTTAGATATCCTATTTCAAGGAGTTTTGATGCTAGCCCAAACACATTTTATTAGGCTTTTATTTCATCTTGCTATGTTCTTTTTACATTTTATATATCTCATTTCAAATGCATTTGTCTAGGTAAAAGGAGATAGTGTGGTAAGTAAATAATAATGTCCTCTTTGCCAAAATGAGTCTTCATATAGCCAAATGCATGTTAAAGAAAAAATTTCATTAACCATTGTACTTTCATAAGAAAATATCTTCCAAAAAAAATGCACCTATTTCACTAACTAGAGAAACTAAAATAGAGAAAGACCACATCACCGAGCCTCAAAAGGCAAGGCGAATTGACTATTTTTCCTTTCTTAACAGGTGAGAGGCAAATGTATTAAAATCCCTGATTTGAATAAGATCACCATTTCACTGTGCAAATTGAGAAATGTTACCATTTGTTTCCCTGCAGAAAAGTAGTTTTTCCTTTCGTTTTCCTCTCAAAAAATAAATAAACGATTAAAATATCTGCAATGACAACTGTTAATTCACACAGGCCAATCAATCTGACTTTGCATTTGCACACAAGTCAATTTCAACTTCATTCCTACTTCTCTGTTAAACTTAGAACATTTCAACTGCCCTCTGGGCAAAGAGCCAAGCACAGCACTTAAGTTCAAAAAGAGTAGCTCATCGAAGAGTATAAATGTTTCTATTTATCTTGATTGTTATGATGTGAATTGACATTTTATTGTATGTAAATTAGATTTTCACTCATAACAAAAATAACAAGTGCTGTGCTTTGTAGGAATGCCTTTGACTATGTCCCCAGCATTTGGTGAAAACTATCTTTGGATACTAAAGGTAGTTTATTTTTTTTAAGTATTAATGTTGCCTTTTTCTGTTTTCTAATCTGTTATTCAATAGAAAAGAAAATCCCAATATTAATACACCAATATAACTAACAGCCTTCTTAGTTCTCTCTTAAGAAATCTGTGTCAATCACTGCAAATCCATTTGGTAAACTGACACACATATATAGTATAGTGAATCTAATAGATGCTTACCATAAAGATAACATAGTGCAATTAGAATGCTCGCTGTCTTCACAGCACCAGTAAGCCAAGTATATTTGGTAAGGTTTATTATTATTATTAATAAAAGTGCCAAATTTAATGTAAGATTAAAACAGATGTTGTGAAGACATACTGAGAACTTGTAATATACTCTGTATGTGTGCATGTGCATGGGTGTATATCTCTAAAATGAAGGGAAGGAAGTTTGTGTCTTCATATACAGCAGTTCTTCCTCATGAAACTAGGAAATAACTCACAAACCACTGTGCTGTATGACATGGAACAATTTAAATGGCCTGCATCCATCTGAGACCAATGGACTAAGGACAACCATAGAAGTATCCAACAGATGAAAATATTACAATGAACCAGCTAATGCATTCACGCAACAAAAGTGATTTAGAAATAAGTTCAGAGTGTCAATACATAAAAGTTCCACAAGGCCAGAGATGTTTATCTTGTATTTTTTAAGCCCACTTAAATTAATAAGCAGTACTGATAGTTGTCTTTCACATTGTAATGAACACACACTATTGATACAAAATTTGGTTTAGAAATCACACAATTTAGTGCCAACTACTTATTTTAACCTAATTAGCATCATTTTTCCTTCTGACGAAAACAAATTACACGCACACACAGGAGTCATTTTCTCTCTTTTATTAAGTACAGAGAAATTTTCCAAAGAAAACTGATCTTTAAAAAACTATACTTCAAAGTCACTTCTAATAATAAGATTAAATCACTTTTTCCTGACTTCTAGGGTATGAAAAGCTTTATGTATGGGGGGAAAAAAGGTAAACATAGAATCTGTTCATAATTTGGAGCTGGATAAGTAAAAGGCTTAGAAATCTTCAACCGTAAGAACCTTTTTGAAAAAACATTATGGTATTTCAGAACATTCTGCCTATGCTTACCAGAAGTTTAGCTAAGTTCTGCCTGGGATTTTAATACGGTAACTGTTTAAGCACAGACGACAAGAAATTCAAGACTTGTCTCTACATGCTTCCCATGATATTAGCTTCAAAAAAAGAAACAAAAGGAGATTCCTTGGACAAATTAAATTTAATGGAAACTGTATAATATATATCCCTCCCAGAGATCCACAATGTACATTAGCAATTACAGTTTTACAAATAGATTGGAGGGGGTGACGTCTGTTCAATTTGGACTGGAATTTCCCAATCTCATTTGGCTTTATGTCACATATTTGGTTTTATGTCACATAATTTACCCAACAAAACTAATGTGCTGCTGAACACAGTGGGAAAAACCACTCTAAGACAGTAATGTTGAAGAAAGAAATCTAACCAAGATTTCAAAGCATGTGTATGTAAGGGAAAAAACAAAACAAAGCAGTATTCCTTCATTAACTTGGCAAGAAAACTAAGATGTTTTGCTATGAAGTGGCCTGTGTTGAAGGATCTGTTTTGTTTTTGTTTTTTCCATAAGTGCTATCTATGTTTAAAGAAGATTGAGGTGTATCATCATGAAAGATTTAGAATCAGAACTTTTTTGAAAGAATGTGTAGTGGCAGAGCATTACAGATAGAACATTGGATTTTTAAAAGGGAATGGATAAAACATCTAGGTAAAATAAAATCCCAGGTGTCCAAATTATACATTCACAAACATATGTGGATAGAAACTCAATGTTATCTTTGAGCTAAATAGATTATACAGATATCACTGCATAAAAAAGCTCTAAGTATTTTTTCAACTATTGTTTCTAATGCTGTCCAACTACTGTGATTCATTAAAACCTTGTATGCTAAATTTGTCATTATTTTATAATTACTTACATTTTATCTGATTAAAATTGAGTCCCTAACCAAAATATGGCAAAGGCTTTCAATTAAATATAGAATGTGGAAAGACCCAGGATGGCACTGAGGCATCGCAGTTCATATAGTTAAAATCAGTGGTTCTCAAATGCTTGCAAATACCTGAGATCTATCCCATGTGCTCCTCCCTGGTTATTAACAAATCCTCTCTTCCCCACTCCATTCAGTCTGTATCCCCAGACTCACCTGTGCTAACAATGAAGGACAGAAAACCAATGCCTGGGATCGTAATCAGTAAACTCATGTCTAATACAGACCCTATCCCACCCTTGAAAATCCCAAGCACATCCCCCAGCTTTATGGGCTTTTGGATTTTGTTTTATCATTATTGCATCATCTTGCATCCAAAGATTAAAACAAAAGATCAGAAATAAATAAATAAAATAAAAAATAGGTTGGGTAGATGTCAAAGTAAATCTGAAACAGATAATTACTCTTAAATTAATTTTAAACACAAAGCCGGATAGAGTGGTAAGATTCAAGCCAGAGAGGATGACCACATATCTAAGTTCCCTCTGGACCCACACAGCCTCTATTTTACACATTCACATATAAGAGGAAAATAGTGATATGATATATATGAGTAGGAATACAGAATTCGGGCAGAAATTAGCTCACTTGTTAAGTATTTTGTATAGGCAATCTAGTCAATCTTCAGCTTCAAATTCAATATAAACTTAAGATTCTATCTAAACATTCACAGAGCTATACACACACACACACAAACACACACACACACACACACACACACACACACACACACACCTTTAGAAAAGATTTTCACCATCTGCACCCCAATTATTAATTTCTCTATCAATCTTGTTGTGGACACCTGTTTTAACAAAGTAAGGGAAATATATACATATAATTCCAGAATCAGGTGTTTTACAATACTTCTATCAGAATTTAATTGAATGTTGAAAGAAATTGAAAGTCAGAAGTAGGCTTTTTTAAGGCCCACAATCTTCAATGTTGATACATATTCTAAGCTGAAGTTTTAGCTAATAACAAAAATATTTCATGCTCTTACTATGAGCCAGGAACTGTGCCAAGAATGCATTATCTCATTTTATTTTAATTTGGATGAATAATCCTTGAAGTAGTATTTTCACTCACATTTTACAGATAATGCAGCTAAGATACGGAGAAGTTAAACCATTTGTTTAAGCACAGACCTAGCACATGAACAAGTTGGATCTAAAGGAATCTAAAGGCCATTGGGTTTCCCAGCGCATTTCTTTAAAACACTTTAACAACAGTTAAGCAATGCAAAAAGTGATAACATTTTAAGAAACTTACAAGAGAACACAATCTACAAGATGCCATGTTACAAAGGCTGCTATCAAACATATTTGTCTGCCTCTATAGCCATGTCAAGTGAATGAATACACAATCTTCCCAACAGTCTCACAGACTACCAGATTATCCTAGCTTCTGAATCTGTCTCATAATGCCTAACACATCACCAACATTACCAAACTACATGTCTCTAAAATGGATTCACTTCTACAAAGCCCTCTACAATTTTCACAAGCAAAACTTAGTCTTCTCCACCATCAAGTGGGACCTTACGCATATCTTCTCTTGAGGTACTTCGCACTTCACATGGAATTATGTGGTTATGTTTTAGGCTACCCCACCGGACTGTGAAACCCTTAGAATCAGAAAATATATTATGATGCATATTATCATTGTTAATGCAAAATATTAATAGATATACGTTCATATGTGATATTAATCAAAATATTGACATATAATAATTCAATATATGTAAATAGTTATATCTCATCAGTGATCTTGAGCTTTTTCCAAGTGTGACACATCAGAGGCTCATTTCCATCATTAGCACCAGCAGACTATGATGGTGATTACTGCAGAGAAATAAAGCATAATAGCATATTGGCACAAGGGACATGCAAGTTTTTAAAAAGCCAAGTAATACTAATATGACCTTCCTCACAGTAGCAGGCCTACAACACAGCAGGCACTCATAAGAGTTCTTATTGGATGGACAGATGTTGACACACTTAGAAATCTCTACATATTACTTTTCTCTGCAAGGAAAGTCTGCATATTTTGGTATTAAATAGGCTCAGGAGACTAAAAGCTAGCAAAATGCTAAAGTAGTCTCAACAACATAATAACAAACCAAATCAAGACATGCAAAGAATCAACACATTAATTTTCTCCTTATTTAGGCTGAAAAAGAATCAGATATCATAGATCTAGATCCATGGGCATGGAGCAAGAAATCTACAAGTCATGAGAAATAAGAACTATTGAATTTATTTTTTTAAATGGTAAATCATAACCTTGTTGGTTTGATTTGGGTTCCATAAATGTCTATATAACCTTACATATCAAAAATATCTATACACTGATTACACAGAGGAAAGTTCATTAAATATTGGCACACTCTCTATATAGTGATAATTCTATAATAAGAGCACCATATCAGTAAATTGAATTTGTGTAAGTTTGTATATTTACATGATTATGCATGTTTTATATACGAATATCATATGGTATTTAATAGGTTTATTAAATATAGAACATTTACTATAAATATATACATTTATATATCTATGTTTTATTTACAAATTTTTCATTCTGTATTCTCCAACATTCCAAAATTCAAAATACACAGTACAAGTAGCATAATACATAAAAAATAAATAGTTTATCTTTTAAGAGAATAGCCTGGAACATAAAAAGAATACAGAAAAGCTTCAAACATCTGGATTAGACTCTGAGAAACTTAAAACATTCACAAGGACACAAAACTAGAAGTTTAATTTTAAAATGCATGTGCACTCACGCGCGCACACACACACACACACCCCAATTCTCACAGTATCATTTTCTGAATTTCTCAAGCTGGAAACAACCAGAATATGTATCAGCAGTAGAGTAGATTTTTAAAGTACTGGTATACGATTATACAATACAATACCCATTCATAAAACGGACTATTATGCTACAATATGAAAGAACAAACTACGTACAATGTGAATGAATTTTACAAACCTGATGCTGAGTGTGACATGCCAGACACAAACGAATGTATACTTTCTATGTATATGAACATGTGCAAACTTCAGAAACAAGGAGAGCTATCTAAAGTGTTTAGCAGTCAGGAGAGTGACTGATTCCTGGACGTGGAAGAGAGAGAATGGGAGGGACATAAAGAGCTTCTGGAGTACTGGCAATATTGTATTTCTTGACATGAGTGATAGTTACACAGGTGTATTCATCTTGTAATAATTCGTTGAGCTGAGATTTGCACACTTTTCAGCTAAATAAGTGCATATGTGATTTTTCAGTGAAACAGCAGTTGCTCTGCAGAGAGCATGAAGGAATACATTGAGGAGAAACCTTTAAGCTGTTATATTTTGATGAGCAAATCAAGCAATCCAGTGGAGTGGAATGGGTCATTGATGCCTCAGGCTGAATTGCAGGGGAGCAAGGGCCAGGATGTGCCCTAGCAGGCAAACAGGTGGTAAAAGAAAGAAGAGAAGAGAAATTGAGAAGAAAAGAAAGTGTTCTGAACAAAAGGGATTTCAAAGAGTGAAGGGTTTGAAAAGAGACATGAAGGGCAAAAACAAGAGCAGAAAGCAACAGACAGCCTAACAGAGGAGAAGATAATCAGAGACAAGGAAACAGGAGAGAGAAAAGAGCTCTGTCTGTGATTCTGCTGCTGGTGGTGGTGGTGGAAGGGCGAGCACAGACACACATCTGTAGATATTAAATATTCCATGAGGATGCACTACCTTGATTATACCACATAGACAAGTTACGTAAAGGTGGAAGAGAACTAATATTTATTGAGTACTTATTATGTACCAGCCATTTGCTTACTGGCTCACGTAATTTCCCCAGTTAGTTTTCACCAAAAGCCTCCTAGTTCTTTAGTAGTCCTATTTTACAAATAAGGAAACTGGAACTGAAAGGGGGATAAGGTAGCCTGCTTACTGAGAAGATCAGAGGGAACAGATGAAAGAGAGCAAATAAAACAATACTGTGGCTTTTCCAGAGAATTCATTTATCTAAAGTTCTGAATATTTTTATACGGCTGAATAAATGCTGTATTTAAATGAAGTGTGTGCTAGATTCTACCTTCATCTAAGGCGATTGCTGTAAATCTATGTAATACAGTAGACCAAGGCATCCCACCTCACAAACAGAATAATGATGGGTGGTTTCTTATTTTGCATAAAAAAGATAAGTTAATAGGTAAAATTCTATCAGTTTTAAACTTTATACCTAGTTAATATTTTCTTAGGACTTTGGCTTCTAACATCAAATAGCTTCTAATGTGTACAAGAAAAAAGAA